CAATGATTACAGTCAGTGTTTTGTACTTTCTTGCTCAAAATGGTTATCTCTCCCTGTAATGCCTCCATGTTCTCCTCGGAGTGCTGCCGTGTGTGGTGGACAATTGTACGCGATGGGTGAAAAGAAAAAAACCTCAGTATGTTGTTTTAATCCAAACCAATTTAAGTGGAGCACTCTTGACCTGAAAATGGATAGAAGAGGCTCTACAGTTACATCTTTTAATGAAGAGCTGTATGTAATAGGTGGAGAGGGTTCATGGCGTGATGTTCAAATCTATGATCCAGTTTTCAATAAATGGAGACAAGGAGGATCAATGAAAACTTCTCGTGCTGGACACAGTGCAGTTGTACTACAAGAACATATTTATGTCATTGCTGGTCACAATGGTGAGGTTTGTCAGAGCAGTGCTGATTGTTACAATCCAGTAACTGACCTATGGACTGAGATCTCAGGTATGTCTAAAGCGCGAAGGTATGCTGCTGCTGTGGCAGTTGGAAGAAACCTTTTTGTCGTAGGAGGATTTGGTGACATGACAAGATTAACCATAGAACCTTCTTGTGAAATATTTGACCCAGGAGCTATTCAGTGGAGCCTGGTGCCCAGTCTTAGTATTCCTCGTGCTGCAAGTGGTATTGTGAGTACTGGAGACAAAGTTTATTTGTTTGGAGGAGAGGATGATAGTCATTACCAGAGCCAAGTGATGTGTTGTGAAATGGGAGAAAAAAAATGGTATGAGATATCACTTATACCGAATGGAGGGTACTCATTTCTGCAAGCATCATTGCTCAAAGTGCCAAAGGAGGTTATCTTATCTAATTCTGAAAAAGATGGAGAACTGTGAACACTTTGATAGTCATGTGTTCAGTGACTAATCATAATAAAGGTTAGGAAATGTAAGAAAACCTAAAAACCATAAACTTATCAACCAAGAACGTTAAGATTTATGACATATGATAGGTTTCTTCCTTGAAACGCAGTATAACTCCATGAATAGTTCTGGTGTTCACAATTTTCTGAGTTTCACTGTAATTCCTAGTCACCAAGGGTATCTCTCCTCTCAAGTATGGGGCAGTTGCTGAGGTTTTGTAGCCAACTATATGTGAAAAAGAAAGAAACTGTTAACTTGTCTTTTAAAAAAATTTAAAAAAAAACTTACTGCTGATAAAATGACTTTACTCAAGAATTACACTGAGCATTAAAGTTGTACAAATCTGATACTGTGGGGCTGCTTTATTCTACTAAAATAATTTAAAATTAACATACCATACTTATGTGACAATCAATGTTTTTGTTAGCATAATTTAGCATAATTAATAAGTTGGCATAATTGTATTTTTGCTAGAGAGATGTGTAAAAATAGGCACCAGTAAGACGTCTTTTCTAGGAGGGTTTTATGCTAACATCTTACTGGGGTTTGGAGATGTTGGATTATTTTTGTATGTTATGCAATCTTCTGGACAAGAAAAGAGTAACATCAAACCCTAGCTCTCTCTGACAAAGCTCCTCTACCAAGCCACTTTTGGCAACCTAACTTAGGCTGTGTCTATTCTCGCAAACTCTCACTCCTTGTTTCCATAAAGAAAGACTGCTGATTTTCTAACACCATTTCAGCAGATATATGGAGCTTCAATCTGTGTAGAATTTTAACAATATGAATCAGGTTAAAACTCACAAGGTGTGAGGTAATCATAAATGAAAGCAACCATTGCCAAATGTTAAACAGCACTATGTGATCTAACTTTCCATGAATCATGCAACTGTTCTATCAGGTTAAGGATTGTTTCTTGCTTCAAAAGTCTTGCTATGACATTTAAGTTTCACTTGTCTTGTGTTGAACCAATTGAGTATCTATTAAACTGCTTTATATTGTTCATAATGGTATCTTTCTAGAATTTCTTCTATCTTTATAGCTACAGTGAAAAGCAATTTTGGTCCAAGTCTTCTCAGTACAAGAAGTTCAAATCCTGTGCTAGCTGCATACAAAAACTATCAGCTGCCATTCCTGACATAGAGTTTATCATTAATGGCAATGGGTGTTGCCCTAATTTGAAGTTTCTGTCTTAGGTAATTACAACCTGCAGTTGAGACTTATTCATTATCTTTTCCTCTCTATGGTGGCAAGAGATAAAGGAAAATTGGGAGTTGATAGTTGCATGGGAGAGATGTCACAAGACAAAAACTACAATTTTTTTTACAATTGGAGAGGTCAAATGATGTGGAGTATGAAGTCATGCTGTCACGCTTTTCAGTCTGGCATTCATGTAATACATGTTTCAAAGGGTATTGTTTGGCCACATGGCCCAGTTTACATATATTGTGGGTAAATAAATCTCTTTAGAGTTTTCTTCATGTCTCACTCATTTGTCACTTTGGACACAGAACAACACCATACACTACAAATGATAATTTTCCATTTTTTTAAATTGTATGTCTACACCATGTGTTTGCAACTGATTTCAATTCTCATCACTGGAATAATACATTTTCATAAACCATGGATCTGCTCATTTCACCACTCATTAGAGGCATTTCCAGGGAATTAATAATGTATTTCTGGGAATATCTTTCACCAAGCCATCTGTTTCTAAAGCTTAAAGATTTTTAGTGTGAGTCGTGTTATTCCTCAGCTTTCTTGCAGGCTTTATACTATGTGCATGACAAGCACTTCTGCTAAATGTCCTCTTTGTTTTTACATGCCCTAAACCTTTTTTTTATAATCTTATGCATGTTTATGGAATAATCAGGCTGATCTCATGACCTATCCACCAGTCAATAAAGTTAGTCTCAAGACACTCTACCACCTTTTGTTAAGTGCTTCAAATGAATCCCCAATAGAGTCAAACCTATGACCTTCCAATCAACATTTCTGGCACTCTACCACTGAGCAATGAGAGACTCATTTGCAAGAGGTTTTAGAAAGTGGTACACATCTTTAGTACTGATGGGAGGTTGTGGGTTTGACTCCTAGTGGGAGCACTTGAAGTTCATTTTCTTCAAGTATACTGCTCTCATTCACTAATATCATCTTTCACCAGGCTTATAACTCACCATCTTCATTTGCAGTATTATTGCGCACCAGCTTCATGGTTATTTCCAAGCTCGATCCCAGGATCCTCATTCTTCCTTCCTTTCTCGAGGGAGTAAGAGAGAGGACCGTGGGAACGAGGTTGAAACACACTCAATGAGCCAGTGAGTGTGCCATGCGTTGGAAAATTGTCACCATACTATACTTTGTTTCCTCATACATGACATATCTACTACCGTTGTGCTTGTGCATAGCCCAGATGTAGCCGTACCCTCCCCCGCCAAGTTGAAACGGAAGCGAGGGAAATTCTACAAAAACTTGACACCAATCGTGTTTTATGAAGTCAATCTTTTGCAAGAAAATATATAATGGCTTTTAATTGGTTAACCCTCCCTTCCGTTTCACCTTACGGGGGAGGGTACGGCTACACTTAGGCTACCTTTGCACTTTGTGATTTGATTAACATGGCAACTTTCGCGTCGAAAGAAGCTGAGGATAGAACTTTCGATGGTTATAAAGATGAGTTGCTCCACAAACTCAATGAGCTCAGAGAAACAAATACTCTTTGTGATGCGACCATTCGAGTTCAAGGCCAGGATTTTCCGGCCCATAGATGTGTTCTTTCTGCGGCAAGCTCTTACTTCCGAGGTATGTTTACTAGTCCTCTGAGAGAAAGAAAAAGCGGTCTTGTTGAGTTACGGGAGATCAAATCATCCACATTCGGCGATGTTCTTTGGTTTATTTACACTGGTGAGGAGGTTAGCACTACCTTTGCTAACGCGCAAGACTTAGTGATGGCCGCCGACTATTTGATCATGCCAAGTTTGAAAGCGAAAGCTGCTTTTTTCCTCGAAAGCACATTAAATGCCACCAATTGCATGGCCTTAGAATCATTTGCTTCTCGGTATAACTGTGAAACGCTAAAGCAAGCGGCAGTTACCTACAAAGTCAAACATTTTGTAAGGGTGACGCAATCGGAAGACTTTAGAAAGCTGAATTTAGAGAAAGTTAAGGAACTGATTTGCATGGACGAGATAAACGTGGCAGAAGAAGAGGAAGTGTATGAAGCAGTGATGGCCTGGTTGAAACATGATCTACCATCCAGGGAATGTTTACTCCTGGAACTGTTGCAGTGTGTAAGATGGTTTTCAATGTCCAAGTACACCATGCGAAAGATCCTCCATGAAGAGTTGATCAGGAAGAACCTAACTTGTACAAGGTTAGTTGTCGATGCTTTGGATCTTGTTGTATTCCCAGCTTGTTCTCAAGATACTTCACAAAGATCTCGCTTGTCTTTAAGTGGTTATGAAAATGTAGTGATCCTCACTGGTTCAGAAGATGATTTCCCAGAGGAAACTTGTGACTGCTTTGTGCCTGCTTCTAACACCTGGGTATCCTTACCCAATATACCTATACCACGTGTTCATCATGGTGCTGCAGTTTGTGGCGGAGTGTTATACGTGATGGGTGGAAGCGAATCAACTCCGGTGTGTTGCTTTAACCCAAAAGAAAATGAGTGGAGCACACTTGACACCACGTTGCGCAGAAAAGGCTGTACAGTTACATCGCTTAATGAGGAGCTTTATGTAATTGGTGGAGAGTATTCATGGCGAGATGTTGAAATATTCAATCCAGTTCTTAACAAGTGGAGAAAAGGAGAATCAATGGAAACTTCTCGTGCCGGACACTGTGCAGTTGCACTACAAGAACATATTTATGTCATTGCTGGTCACAATGGTGTGAATTGTCTAAACAGCGCAGAGTGTTACAATCCATCAACTGACCAATGGACTGAGATCGCAAGCATGTCTAATGTCCGAAGGTCAGCTGCTGCTGTGGCAGTTGGCACAAAAGTGTTTGTGTTTGGAGGGTATGCTGACAATGTATTGGGGGTTATAGAACCCTCATGTGAAATATTTGACTCAAGCACAAGTCAATGGAGCCTGATACCAAGTCTCAGACTTCCTCGAGCAGGAAGTGGTATTGTGAGTATCGGAGACACTGTGTATGTGTTTGGAGGAGAGGGTGTTGTTGTTGACGATGAAGAAGTATACCTGAAAGAAGACCTAGGTGATGTGCAGTGCTTTGACATAGGAACAAATAGATGGCATAGGATATCGTTTATACCATGTGGGGAATGCTCATATGTGCAAGCATCATTGCTTAAGGTGCCAAAAAGTTTATTAATCACTAGTGACTGAAATTTTCTCTCCACAAACAGTGACATCATTTCTAGGGTTTTTTTACAAGTAACAATACAGGATACTTTTTAGGTGGACAGATATGGCATATTGAATAAATTAGTCATTGGTTATCTCTGTGTCATTGTTTTATGAATTAGAAATGAGTTACATTATTAGCTTGCTTGGCCTCTGAACAAATTGGTGGGAAAGTTTATAAGAGGGAAAAAACAATTATGTCTGGGTCTTTAAGCCTCTACAAACTTGCCCATCCCACAGGCTACCATATTATATGCCTCCCCCCCCCAAAAAAGAGAAAAGATCATAGACTTCATGCTCCTATGAAGTCCCATTCCTCTTGCTACCCAACTATATGCACCCCACTAAAATAGATCATAGCCAATATCAGTATGTTTTATTATAACAAAAAGCTGAATTATACATGTTCTTTGATTGGTTCTTACTTATGATTTATTGGAGGACAGACACATTGGTGACATCACTGTAAACAACTTTTTCCTCAACCATTTTGAAAAAAAACAATAAACTCAATTTTGCTACGCAACATGGAATCAGTGACACATAACAATGGAGCCTAGTAGGTACATTGGGCTGTGTCTAATGTGCCATAAAAAAGCATAAAGATTCTTCTCTTAAATAAACCTTCTTGTGGCCTGTAAGTAATGAAACCACTTTCCTGTCCATTAAGGAGATTTAGATCATCCAAATAGTACAATTATGTTTAAAAATGTCTCCTTAGGAAGAAAAGCTTAGGTCAGGCTAACACTGAGTCACATGCAGAAGAGTTGTTCTGTACTAGTCTCTTTTTCACAAGAGGAGTGGTTCATAGGACTCTGTCTTGTCTTTATCAGTTTGCTAGTAGCCTTCCTAGAATATTTACCACTGTACTCTTTGCAGGTGAGTTTGTGCATCCAGGATATATCATCTTGCACATATGAGGTCTCACACAAATACCAGCTAGAGACAGGAGATACCATTAGTTGCTGGCTGACCATTCATAAACACATGGCACTCTTACTTGAAATGAATATACAGAGGATCTTCCATGGTGCGGCAGTGTTACAAATTGGAAGAGAAATTTCTTATCTCCAAGAGACCTCACTCTACCCACTGCTAGGGCCAACATTTTCTCACACTTGACAATATGAAATTATTTGATGAGGTTTAACATGATATCATGAATAAACAATGCTGAGGTTTTAGTTATATGCCAAAGCCAAAGACTGAGGCAGATAACACAGATAATTTATGATATTATGCAAAAACCAAATTCAATAATTGTTTTATTATACTTTTTACAATCTGCAAAAGAGGACACACTACACTGACAAGGGGCTTGGAAACTACCGGTAGGCAGGCTTTGAACTCTACATGACAACACAATATCTGCTGTAGATGTTGGTTATCATGTCAACTTTGCACATTATTGTATAATGACTATAAGCTATTAACCAATCATAGTTTTTATGGTTAAAAAGAGAGTTAAAATCAGAGTTTTAACGTTTAATCTATAATAATACATTTTAACTTGTTGTATCTCCACCCTTGTATCTCTACCCTTAGGCCTTTTAAGATACCTCAAGCCTGAAAAATGTACCCCTTCCCGGCATAACCTTATTCACTAGAGAAATTCCACCTCAGAGAACTTATTTACCCTTTATACTTGAACATCATTATCTATACTCTCTATACTCCCCTACTGACAAGGAGAATTTGCCTAACAATCAAAGGTACCTAGGCTGGCAATCATTTCTCATCTTCATAAATAATGATTCATCAGTATTACTGTCAGGAGAAATTAGATGTTGGTCACTCTTGGGGTTTCCAAAAAGGTTAAATCACAACTTAGTCTTCACGTCCTTGGGCGTTGCGTGACATTCCCGAAGGAGTCTGCATGTGACATGATAAGAACATTTGACCCTTTTTCTTGATTCTTCTCATTTTCCCACCTTTGATCGACTCGAATTTCTTACGGCTTCTTGTTAATTTCCTATGCATCAAGAATCTTTCCGGTCTGTGTCTTTCGGATCTTTGGAAAGCGTTAGTAGATATCCCGACAGTAATTCTTGATACAAACTTGCAACATACCACACCGGAAAATACTGCAAAGTTATCAGGCCGTAAACATTCCATTGTCGATTACTGTAATCCCAAGGACAGGCATTAAAATGTCTAAGCACTACACCCCAACTGAACTCCCACAGATACACCCAAATGACGTACAGAACACCTCGAACAGGCATCGGCAAGTACCACTTGTCCTTCCAAGTCAAGTACATTTGTTCAACCACAAAGCTTCCAATTCCATACTGGAAAAATGACCATAAGGAAGAGTGCCCACGGAATTTCCAGTCACGTAAGTTCGATTCGACAAAATTAAACAACGATGTGAAGACTATTTCATCGAAAAACCCGTGGAGACCGTAAAGGAAAATTCGTAACCAAGCGTTGACCGCCATATGGTAAGAATCCCCAGCACTACACCCTCGGTTTTTTGGAGGTTCGATATGTAGTATCCAGTCCCTCCTTATCTCGGTATCCAACATGGCGTCGACAACTAGATACGCCAGTCATGGAAAACAGTTTCTATAGCGTTGACGATGGCGACTTGGCCGGAAGCGAACAAAAAACGCAATCATGCACGGTGAGAGCATTCTATTTCTCATTTTGTTCCCCGATGATATGTTAAATTTTCGAGCTCTCGATCGAATGATAGGTCTACTTTCAGTTTTCATACTAATTTGCATTGACGCACTATTTTACAGTTCTGCACCTAGTTGCCAAGCCTTTGATTTGGAGTGAGGCTGAAGGTGACCTTGTTGTAATAGAGAACAGTATCTTGTAAGCATGAGAACAAAGTAATTTACATTTGAAATGCAGCTACGTCTGTATCATAACAAGGTCACCCCTAGCCGCACTCCTGTTCAAAGATTTGGTAATGAAGCATACAACTGTAAAATGGACCATTGTTCCCCTTCAATTGTTGTTGTTGTTTTTTTGTCTTTCAATATTAGGACCCCTTATTTTAAAATATACCCCTACTATACAAGCTACCATGAATGATAGGCAACTGGATACAAATTGTTGCTCCTATTCTGTGCATCAGGCACAGTTCCTGAAGGGAAATTCAAAAAGATGATTTCCCAGTTTGCATTACTTGCTCTCCTTATAAAGCACATCTAGACTGAGTTCAGAAAAACCAAAGCCAAATTAACTAGAACAGCCAATCAGAGCAAAGTAAAAGATCACAGGGAGTCCATCAGATATCAAAGTATAAACAAAGCAAACTGTTTGAGGTGTAGGAAAGTGCAAGGGACCAAGTGGCAGTTGGTTTAAGTTTTGAATCTGACTGGCTGAGAGGATGGGGCAGTTTTTTTGGACAGATCACATGACGCAGTAAAGTTAAACCAATGGAGTCCCACATTACCTTCAACATTGTCTTAAGCAAGGTGCCAATGATAGGAAAGGGAGTGGAAATATTCGAACATTTTTCAGCTGAAATGATCTTTAACCCCCAAGAGTGATTACTAACCATTTTCCGCTTTCAGTATCACCCCTAAAACAAACATTGAGGTCTTGAGAAAAAGAGAAATGATCACCAACTAAAGACGCTCTTGATTGTTAAAGAAATTCTCTTTGTCAGGACCATAGGGAATGTATAGAGAACAGTATGGAGAAAGTGCATACTGATGTTACGGTGTAAAGGGTTAACCCCAGGTGTTATAGAAAGTAAAGTTAAGGGATAACATTGTCTTGTTACAGAAATGCAACCCTTGAGTTACTATCAGATGGTAGAAGCAGACACTCTAAGAGCTCTCAAGCAAGCAGCAGGGTTACAGAATTTGAAAATCTAGGTCTCTCTGTGGAACGAGATGGACAAGCTATGAGTGATGTGTCATCCTTTCACTCAGAATCATTGTACAGTCAGCATGCTGATAGTTTGCGCGTATCTGCCAGTGGACCCTCACACTTGTCACCAGAAGTTGTATGTTGTTCTCTTTTTCAGATAAATATTTTATTTTTATCAGACATTTTTGCTTTTGGTTATTTTGGAAACTAGGCCAACATGGAAGTTATTTATCCCAACCCTGATAAGAAAATGGAACTCATTGTAACTTGGCCTGTTGATATTTCATGAAGTTTCAGAATTGATGGTTAGCAGAAATGTCACGTTCTGAGAATTCAAAGTGCTCTTTCTGATATATCACAGTAGCACAGTTAAATACAGAATGCTATTTTGAATGGAATCCAACTTGTTAATCTAATATTTTATGGAAAGCTTAAAAACACATAGTGAAAATCTCCAGTTTGGACACCTATGGTGGTGTTTTACTTTAGAAGCTCATGCTGCATTCAGATATTATTTTTATTTTCTTTTTTCTACTTTTAATCTTAACCTGCTTGTATTCCAAAGACATATCAAAGAAGTTTACCAAACATAACTATTGGCTGTGTCAGTATTGTTGTTACCTTCTTCCTCTTCATCGCTGGTGTAATTCTGGACACAGTTTTTAAACAAAAAAATGAACAAAGAGGCAAGTGAGATATTTTAGTTGCCTATAATTAGTCATTGCATTAAGAAAATCTATACTTAGAAGAGAGGTTGCATAAGCTTTTTCATACATGTGAATGTTTCTCTTCACTGTCTGTCTTGGCCAGCTTTTAGATTACTGTAATTCCTTGAATGAGAGCCCATTCTCTAATAAAGCTATTCCCCTGGGTAGGCACCCACCCCTTGGGCCATGAAATCAAACAAGTGCCCCTCTTGAACAAGCCCTCCCCTCCTACCTTACTTTCTCAGATAGTGGAGATACAAGGAAAACCTGTTTCTATTGCCACTGTAGAAGAATCAATACAGGTTATGTGCTGATGATGAGGAAATACAATACATGCTAAGATTGCTCAAAGCCCATCATTTTTGTGTCTGTAGTGGCCAAGCATGTATTCTTCATTCAATCAACCAGTTATTTATTTTAATAATATGTGCAAGAGCTGCAAGCTTATTCAGATACAAACTTATAATAAAATAAATTACTTGTCTGAGAAATATAATAGCCTAAAGTAATGGAACAGCATTGGCAGTGTTTTATTGATTTATAGATGGTGAGTTATAAGTGATAATACATCATTATTGATTAATTTACAAATGGATTAAGCATCTACGAATGATTAAATTTTTCTTCTCAGTAATTAAGACAGCTTGTGAAGTGTTGATGGCAGCAGGGCTCTTTGGATTCACTGGTATGACGATATCTATTCCAGTGTATTCTTATATTTCTTTACCTACCTTTTTCTCAGCCACCATTTTTAGGACTGCTTTATTATAATTGATATTGTCCAGAGCAATGATTTACTAACAGAAGAAATCGTTAATGTTGTAACAAGAGGAGTAGAGATCATGACACAAAAAAAAAAAATCTGTCCCTTTTTTTAATCCAAGTTCATCATGAATTTTTCCTTCCAAACTAGATATTTGACCATCAGCAAGAACCTATTACATGCTCTGTTATTGTAGGAACTAAGTTCTCCATTGATTTTTTCTTAACCCTTTACACCCTAAGATCAGTATGCATATTCTCCTTACTACTCTCTAGACATTTCATAGGGTTCTGACAAGGAGAATTTTCTTCAACAATCAAGAGTTTCTTTAGTTGGTGATCATTTCCTTTATTCTCATGACCTCAATGTTTGATTGAAGGGTGATTTTGTAAGAAGAAATAAGATGTTAGTGACTCTTTGGGATTGAAGGGTTCAAGCATTAACAATGAACTTACATCAAATGATGTATTTTGCTCTGTTGCTTTAGGTGGAGTAACCAACTGGGTCGGAATTAAACTGATATTCAACAGGATTCCAGGATTGTTTTTTAGGCATGTGACCCTTGCTGTTGCCTTCTGAGGGGGGAAGTTCATCTTTACCCTTTGTTCTGTAGCATTCTTGTTGCTTATTAGGCTGCAATCAATTGTTAAAATATAAGATTTTTCCTGGAACTCAGAACTTAATTGTTACTTCCCAAATTGGTTTTGATATGTAAGCTCTGGATTCTTAAAAAAAAAAGGAAACTACTCACTCTAAGGGGGTCAGTGACTTTGAAGAGGTTATTCCAATGTTTCATAGCCAAGCAACATTTATACTTTCATTTGACTTGTATGCAGTTTTACATTAAGTTAATGAACTCAGCCTATTATTAGTAAGTTACAGTTGTTATAATTCTCATTTGAAGTCTTCTTGTTTTTTCCACAGTGGAGCCATCATTAAGAATTTTGTAACTGCCAGGAAACTGATAGCCAATTTTATTCTTGAGGCATTTTTCAGTCCTTCACAAGTTAGAAATTACATTAATGACAAAAAGAGAACATATCTGACAGCAGAACAGATAGGTAAATGATGATACATTTTATGACAGTTTAGATATATCTTTGCCTTTTTAAGTTGTTCTTTTTCTTGGTTACTATGGAGATTTCCACTTTTTTTAGAACTTAGCAAAATTAGTGAAACAATGCAACAGTAACAATATTGGAGTTTCTTCTCTGCTTAGGAATAGTACTGTGAACCAAAAGTAGTTAATTTTGATGCTTTTAGTGCAAGTCTAGCTAAGTCATGCCTTGGAAAGTTTAGCTGCTAAATTTTTCTTGAATCTTATTTTATATATGTTTATGCTTTTTTCAAACAGACTATCAGCTTGAGAAACTTCTCAATTCCAGAATTGCAGAAGATGTGATTCATGAACAGTTGGAGGTTTTGATGGGAACACCAGAAGGTAAGTTGATTGGTCCATTCAGCAGGTACATTTACTGCTTCATTTGGCAGCATATGGATTTGTTGGTTAGTGGATTGAATTCTGACTGCTTTGGGTGACAATAATCCCATCTGGTTAGGAATAAATTAGTTGGCTATTTTCATTTAAGGAGTTGAAGGTAAGGCAAACAAGCACAACCTCAGGGTGCAGCTGATGGAAGGGTGTGGATCTGGGATTGTATTGTTATTGGATTAACAGTGTCCAATATCATAAATTTTATCAAGCACCATGCACTATGTCTGATGAATTCATGTTTTGTTCAATAGCCTGTACATTAGTTAATTTTTTAAAATTCTTTTCCTTGCCCTTTGATTCATTTATCAATCCATCCGTCCATCTATACCTACATTCCTACATACATACTGTTCATTTAGTAGTTCAATTTGTTGTTTGTTTATTTTTACTTTTACTTCTTAGTTCATTCATGTAGTCATTCAGTCTGCCAGTCATACATGAACTTAGTCATTAATTTGCTTTTTTATGCATTATCAATGCCCACACCTTCCCATGCAAGGGCATAATTGTGTCTAACACATGCCCAAATCATAAAATTCCGAAAGGGCAAATTGCAATGATTAAATATCACAGGTAACCCCCAAGTGCTCATTGTTTGGTTACAGACCAGTATAATAGCCCCTTCCTCTGTAAAGTGAAGGTTAATGACTTTGTGGCATGTTGTCTGATTTTTAATTGTAGGTCTCAAACTTCGTATGCTTGGTGTCACCAAAGCCAAACTGGCACCCCTTGTAAAACCTCAGTTGATGAAGTATAAAACACACATCGTGCCATTGGTAAGGAAAAAGGGCAATACACCTATTGTCCTTCATTATTTAATTCTTCATTTGCATCTTAACCCTTTACGCCCAAACATCAGTATGCATATTCTCCATACTGTTCGCTTTACATTTCCTAAGGTGCTGATGAGGAGAATTTGTTTAGTGGAGAGTATCTTTGGTGATCATGTCCTTCATTCTCATGACCGAGATGTTCGATTCAGGGCTGATATTGTAAGGAGAAATTAGATGCTAGTCACTCTAAGGAGTCAAAGGGTCGAAGAAAGCCGTCAACAGGAATTGAACCTGTACGTGCATCATATGAAATTCACCATCATGCGAACTGTGAATAGAAATTATGTTGAATGGCTGATGTTCATGTTTTGTTTTGTTTGTTTTTGTAATGTTTTGTAGTTACTCTCATCAATTGAATCATTTGATCTGTTAAATGCGGATCACCTCAGAGAACAGGTATGCATTCTTTTAGATAATGCGTAATAGAAGATACCCATTTGTGCTATTTAACTTTTTAAAAGTATTTGACACTATTCCATGGGGCCTTGGCACTAGGCTCGGTGCAATGCAAGGTGTGCTGGTTCCGTCACTCATTTCTGTTCCACTGCACTCTCATACCGTGCATGTCCAGACAGTCAGAGTATGGCTTACTCCCTTCAAGTAGTGCGACATTTTTGTCTTTGTTCTTTTTTTTCCTTCTAAAGATTGTGGATTTGATTTCAACAAGGACGCAAGAACTGTCCGCACAACAAGTCAAGCTGGTAAGTGACATCCTTGAGTGATCAACTGTTATATTCTCTTTCTAATGTTTAGCAATAGCGTTATCTGGCCTCGGCTTTGAAGAATAAAGTAATGAGGAAAAAAAAAATTTAAGGTTATGTGAAAAAAAATCATAGTTAATAATATTTTTTCAGGCGAGAAACTGAAAGGCCTGGTTATTTACATGACCAAACCGCGCTTTTAAGCAAGCGGAAAGTGTCAGGGATTCTCTATAAGAGGGTTGGTTTATTTAAATAAATGCCTTTCCACTATTAGCTTTCGGCCCTCTTGACACTGTTCACAAACTTAAACTTTCAGATAATAGGTTCGGCTTAATTGCAGATGGATTACAACACGGTTTTGATAAACAACGGCTAAACTTTGTTTAAATACCCAGCCTGAAAGGTTTCTTAAGGGAGAAGAAAATTATAACGTGCACAATAGTTATCTTCACAAAAAAGAGCAAGTGCTCTTTCTGGTAAATCCTTGAAAGTTGTTGCTGAGTATCTGAGCAGATGAAACGATCTAAGCTGTGGAGCGATGCGTAATGAGAGAATTTGACGAGAGGCAATTGATCACTTGAAATCGTAATCGTTTAAACAAGGAGATAAACCCCAGCGAGCGTAAATGCTCATTATTTTGCAACGAGTACGACTTGTTCAACTATCGTTAACAAGTTGGGTGATGGTGAATTGTTCTTTAACTTAAGAATTCACCTGATGTTAACGTGACTCTCCTTATCTGTGCACGTGTAGCTGGTCGAAGACGCGGTCTACCGACATTTAAGTTGGATAGTTTTCTGGGGGAGTGTGTTGGGAGCTGTGGTTGGCTGTGCAGCCGAGCTCGCCTCCGTTTACATCAACGGCATGTGACTCGTCAGATGGCTTGGAAACAATGTGTGGGGTCTGGGCTGATTCATTACATGGTCAACTTTTAAATGAAAGCCGACTGATCGTACGGAACAATTAACCTTCTGAGCCATAGAGTTTGTCAGGGAGCGATTTGGCCAGCTTCGCAGGTTGCTAAGAGTGCTCCCGTAGAATGTACACATGTACGTACCACAGATTTCCGCAGATATGAAAAACGTTGTCCGGAACGGCTCACTCTAAGTAAATACACGGTGGATCTTAAGAAGCTTCATTTAGGCTCATGATGACAAAGTGTAAGCATTTGTATGGAATTGCAGATAAATTTTACAAACGTAATGTTGTAAAGGAATTGGAGTTTCACAAGGAACAATGAACGAAGAAAATGAAAAAATTGAAAGGTTAAGGAGAGTTAAGGCTTATAAATCACTTTCAACAATGGTCTTCTTTGAAACGAGTGTTTAAAAGCGAGATGAAATTCAAAGCAGGGGCGATCGGCGATCGGCGTAAGACGAACCGTGATCATGACAAGATAAGAGCAAAATAAAGGTAATGAAAACTGTCCGTCTATCTGTTTTTGCTCGACCAACTCTTTTTTAACGCGTTTCCAGTGTACAACCTTAAGTAGAGGAGATAGAGACACAAACATGTGATGGTTCTCTCTGAGTTTATGCGTGCGTGCACTCGCGTGTGTGCGTGCGCGTTTGCGTACTAAAAATGAAACAGTAGACTAAATGTGTCTCAAACGGTACGTGATAGCATTTTATAAGCTGTTTTAAATGCATGTGCAACGCAACGTAGTCTGTGTACGCGTTGAAACGTATTTGGGCGGTATATTTCTTAAAAGTTTATGACCGGCATTGTTGCATCAACCTCCCTATTTGTTTGGAAAGAAGACGGACTTGAGTCCATTTGAGGAACTGAGTATGGGGATCGGCTCTCTTATTAAAGCAGATTTGTTGCTCGTATTTCACCAACTATTGGTTTCAAATAAGCGTTGTCTATTTTTTTATTTCAAATAAAAAACATTCGGGCGCGGCGGAACACGTTTTAGAAAAGTTTTCTAAAACGTGTTCCGCTGCGCCCGAATGTTTTCATTGAAATATCGACACAAAATGCAACTTTGAATTATAACCAACTTTTGTAGACGTTCGTTTACCAAGGGACTCGTTTCAATTTTTTCCGTGATTTTTTCATGATTTTTAACAATTCATTTGATTTTATAATTCCTTTCGATAATTTTGTTTTATGTTAGAGGTGGTTGTCCAAAACCGAAAATTAGACACGGCAGGTTTCTTTATCTCGCAAACGATGCAATTTGTCTGAAGCCAATGTTTCTTACGTCCTGCTGACACAGTTGTCTGGCACTTCTAAATTATTCAGTGAAAAATAACTTTGCAAGAGAAGACGCTCATTGTTCTCTGGCGGTACAAGTAGCTTGTGTTTTATACGCTTGTTGCATAGAAAAGAAAAACACAGCATCTTTGAACCACAAAATTTAAAACAGCGTTACCTGTTTGTTGAAGCCCGCATGTACACTCGATGGATAGTTTAATTTATAATCAATGTTCGCAGGTAGGATTGCTTTTTTAGTTTTTTTTTGTCATCGTCAAGAAGCTAATGCGAGCTTTTAACGCACATTGGACAAATGCATGATTTCAATTCATGTTTGTAGTTTTAATCCCGTTTAGTTTTCGTTGTTTCAGTAATTTATCGTCAACTTTTCTAAAGACTGCCGAAGAATTGATCCACCATTGGTTTTTTTTCTTTTTTCGCACAAAGAAGTTATATCTTCAACTTTTGAGATTCGAAGGAAGACTGAAGATGGATAATAAAAATTTGTAAAAATAATCCGCGTGGTGCCACTGCTAAAATTTTCCGCGCCTTTTCTCACCTGATTGATGATGTACTTTCACGCGCTTACCCACCATCAACTTAAAATGTTGATGGTTTTTTTTTTTTTTACTAGATACTCATTCGTATTAAATAGCCATTAGCTATTTTCTTTCGTGGGGTTTAGCTTTACTAGCATGTCACCTCAAGAACTCAAGCATTAATTGTTGTGTGGAGTGCGTTAAATTAGCCTCAGTTTATATTGTATTGTTGGTTCGCCTAAATCCATAGAGAAAACATGTGTTACTGCCCTCCCGCGGTTTTTTGTTTGACAAAACAGTATGTGGATTTGAATTATTGACTTCACCTTCGCGCTTTATTTTGCATAAAGACCAAGGTCACCTATTGTCATTGTTGAAAATACTCTAGAAAATCTGTCAAAAATATTTCAAGTGTCTTGCGTAAGCGAGGCGTTTGGGATGTGTGTGCAAGCTGTTGTTAACCCTTTAAGCCCTAAGAATGACCAGCATCTAATTTCTCCTCTCAATATCACCACTGAATCACACATAAATGTCATCAGAATAGAGGGAATGATCACCAATTACAGAAACTCTTGATTGTGAGACAAATTCTCCTTGTCGTTACCTTAGTAAATGTACAGAGAACAGTTTGGAGAATATGAATGCCGATGTTAGGGTGCAATGGGTTAAATAAATTGTTTGGTGAAAATTGACACCTTGTTAAGTTGCCAGTGTTATTAACAAACAGCAATAAAAATGGAGAGAGTTAAAAATTATTGAGAAGTTTTTTTTGAAGTACCAAATTGAGAGCAAATCAGGAGGGGAAAAAAAAGAAAACTAGATAGTCCCAGTGTGAGTTTTTACAAATATAATCTTTTATCCGGTGCTTGAGTATTTTTCGATCGAGTGTCGTAAAGACCAAAACCAAATTAATTTACAACGGCCAATTAGAAAGACGGAAAATATCACAAGAGCCAGAGACATCTCAAGGTAACGACAAGAAACCTGCCTAAAGCGCGGGAGCCGGATCTTGAGAATTCGAGTCACTTTTGTTCTAAATTCTGCGTTTTGCACGTGTTTTCAAAGTAAAACAAACAGTAGCAATCCCTGTTTACATTCGATACTCGATATAAAATAGCTCGGAGGAGAAAAGGGACATTATTTTGACTCGAAGTTATTAAATTTTCTTAAACAAACAGATTTACTATGAGTTTATACTTTGTTATTTTGTGTGATGTTAAGTTTTTGAACAAGTATTTTCAAGATAACAGGAACAAGATCTATTCTTTGAGCTATAACAGGTCTGTTTTGACCAGTAAGTGAAGGATTTAAGGAAATACATGTATTTGATAGTAGGTAAGAGATTTTTGTTTCTTTTCTTCCAGAGCTTTTTGAAGAATTCTTATACGTTGCAAAACAGCTTCATCGATTAAAGGAGTTTGTTTTGTGCCACTTGTTTCCAAATTTAGTTTATACGCAGACTCCATAAACTATATAGTTTTAACTCTGGTTGGTTATGTAATGATAATACTTCATTTACCATTAGAAATTAAATTTAGTACACAAGAGCTAGCTTACCGAACTTAGTTTTATGTGTTCCAACGAGTTTTTCCTTAAAACTGTGCGAAAATTCGTAGAGTAAAACTCTGTTTGCAAAACATGATTTCCAGACGAAGTGATATTTATCAAAAATGGAATGAGTCAAACATTTTTTACGATGAGCTGCCTGCTGAAACAACAGGAAAGAAACTTATCAATTGCAATAAATCAATCATTTCTAACCGTATGTTATGTAAAGGTTATGTGTTGTTCGTTGTCCGTGCACAACCTTTGGCGTTGTTCGTTTGCCAATAACATTCTGGTAATCTTGGAGAAAAACATCTCGCGATCAACGAACCTCCACAGCCTCGTTGCGAGGCCACGTGTCCCCTGAAACGAGGTTGTATGTCAGATTATTACGTAAGAGGTGTCAAACCTGAGCAAACAACTCTGAAGAAATAGCGGTATTCTCTAGTGGACGGGAATGAATCACGGGAAAACGACTCTTAAAAACAATGATGTCAAACATTTTAACTTATCTTTCCCAGGTGTTCGAAACTTTTCATGCTGTATCTAGCAATTGTACCTTATTCTTTATGCAGTGTATTTCAAATTCTTGCCTATCGCCATCAAATGGGGCGGCAATTTTTTTGCAGATGTGATTGAAACACCCATAATTAACATCAACTATGGTGAGTTTGAAGTGTTTGGGTTTTTTTGCCGTACCCGGCCTAATCCTGTTCCCGCTCTCATGAAAAAGCCACGTGTTCTCGGCGTTTGATACCGTGACGTATTGTTCGTCGTTTTCACCTGTTGCGCGTTTATCGCTAATACGACAATTGAAACCACAAAATTACATTATAATTATAACTGCTCAGAAAATCAATACCTTGTTGTTGTTGTTTGCCGATCCACTGCCCACGAAATTGAAAAAGTCTGCCGGGTGTCGGTTACGTTTAGAATATTATCCCGTAACTAATTCACTGACTTCCTGTCGTGTGGTTTTTTTCTCCCTTTTGGTCAATGTCCCCCACACAGTGTCAAGTTCAAAAGGAATCAGTTTGTTTATCCAGATTCGAAAATAAATTTTTTCTGCAAATAGCTCGTGACTGATTAAGTTTTATTTCGTCGCAAAATGAAGTGAATGCTTTGTGGTTTTCATGATTTGTTTTTCTTGGTTGACAATTTCCTGATCGAAATAGTACACTGCACCCTCAAAAATGTTATTTGTTTCGTTACGCTTACGATAGAACGGTTTTGTTTAAAGAAGCGTTTTCTGTTGATCGTAATACATTTAAAGATGTGATCTTTTCCCGACATTTTTCTTGCGGTTTATTCAAAGGCTTTTGAGGAAGAATCTGTCTCAAATTTTCAAGGTTTTCGATGTACTTACAGAAATAGTTCTTTTCAGTTAGCTCTCTTTGTAAAGACAACTCGAAACTTATCTGCTGTGGACAAACCAAAAATTAAAAAAAAACCACCTTATTTCTTATTTTTAGAATCCATTTGTTTAGCATTTGTTTTGAGTTCAGCTTTTATCAGAAAATGATTTATTAAAACGAGAGACATTTCCCTTCCCTAATGCAGTTTTTGTCTTTGTTTCGTCGACCCTCTTTTGTCTTCGTAACTTAAATTCTTTATTTCAAGAAATCGTTAAAATTAGTTTTTTAATTTCCTCTTATATCCTGTAATTTAACTAAGTTGAAAGTTAAATATATTTTTAGGCCTGGCGATTGACAAGCTCGAATCGTATTGGTTAAAAGATCGACCAATCACATGTCATTAATTTACGATTGTTGTGCAACCATGAGCTAGACGACGAGACCAATGCAACATGTGGTGGTTACATAACCAAGAAAATTGCTTTATTCATTCTAAGTGTACCGATTACGCAACCAAAAGAAAAAAAAAAAAAGAGCAGATAGATTTCGTCTCGTTTCTTTCAACCAAATGGTTCATAATTTTCAATTTTATCGTGCACAGATTTAGGGAACTCTAATTCGGAGGCAAAGAAGACTTGCATGCTGTAGTTGTAGTCTTTGTGACAGAACACAACGGTTTAGTAAGCAGCGAGAACTTCAATTTAATTGCGGTTTGTGTGAATTCTTCCAAAAAGAAACTCGAAACGGCATAAACATCTCAGTGCAGTATCGTCTGTTGAGCGGTTACT